CACGGCATGGCCATGCATATGCTAATGGTGCGTATTATCTTCCCAGCGCAACCACGACTCATGGACAGCAAATCAAAAATTCTACGGGTCCAAAGGACCTGTCATCCCTCAGCCCATGCAAGATCGAAACATCTGTACTACCAGGGATGCGGCTGTCAGGATATACATGAATGTAGAAAAGGTCACTCGCACAGTGACTTAGTGACTACATTCATTTATTGATGCACGGAGGCATCCGTAGTCACTCTTTGCACCCACCCAACTCCAAAGGGTTTTCATTTGTTCAGGATGCGATGGATTTCGTTTGAATATTGAACTGTCAGGGTTTACATTTGCATATGTACCCTGTGTGGGCATACATTTGCATATGCACCCTGTATTGCACTGTCTGATTCTATAATTCTTCTGATTGTTCCTCTATAAATCATTGAGGTTCACAACAGCAAGATCACCACAAAACTAGTAATAGGTGCAACAATGAGTTATAATATATTCCACAAGGGAAGGAAAGGTGGCAACCATTGAAGAGCACTAAAAACAAACAAAAGCAGGCACATCCTCTACATATGCCTCTAGTCCTCCTTGTATGTGACAAGTTACAATAATGATATGCCTTGTAAATAGGAACAGATAAGAAACAACTGTCTTCTACACCTTTGTGAACTGCTGTAGTTCTGGTGTATACCTTAAACTGGATTAATCAATTATAAAACACACATACTCACTGTTCCTACCAGAATTAAACCCGGAGTACATGTGCCACGACTGTATAAATGAACCACAGAAGCTGGCTGCAGATCCCAGAACAGGCCAAGACTTACAAAGGGGTAAGGAAATTGGGACCACATATGGGGGTGAAGGTTATATACCACCCCCTACTCTTGTTCTGTTTACACTTGAGAGTTTCTCTTCCCAGCTAACCTGTAGTATTAACAAAGCTAACTATTCCACAAGGCTCTTACTCTTTCGTGCCAAATCTTCAAAGAAGGAAAGGCTCTGGCGGTTTGCCGGCCGAACATCAGGCTTCTCCCCATTTATCTTTTTGAGAGGCAACTGTTCCAAAATCTGGATTGCAGATGTTTCTGAAGAAACCACCACTTCTGCATACCTGAGTGGGAGAAAATATTTAAATAGCACCAACACTTGAACAATAACATCACAATAGCTTATTTTTCTATATGAAAAGCATTTGGTAACATTCACAAACGTATATGTTCTCGTTTTCATACCTCAAACGGACTTAAGAACTTAGAATTTCTGTGCGGCCTCCAGACCGATGGAAAGGCAGGAGAAAGGCTTTCCATTTGCTCTCCTCTTTGGCTATGGGTACGCTATTCAGAGATTCCTGATTGAGAATGGAGGATAAAGGAACATTGCTCCCCATGTGTTCAACTGCCATAAAGTACAACTAAACACAAAAATGAAAACACTTCAATTAAACCTCCATGTCAAACTGGAATCCTAAATTTAAAATATCCAGTTGTACCTAGGTATAGTTTCTCTGGCAAGAAATCTTTGCTTAGAAACTAGAGCTAGCCTTACATGACTAAAATTTTAGCCGAAATTCAAACCATGGGTGGCCCTGATGGCTACACTCGGCTTGACAAACTGATTTCGAAATATAAAAATCCAGGTGGAAAATTGTCTGCTGAACAGTGACCTATCAGATGAGATGCACTACCCTTTCGACTATTGAGGCAGCTGGTGCCAGTGGCTGCCTGAGTACAATAGCCGGTAGTAATTCAGATTGATCCATCCACTGGCTGAACGAGAGAAATCTACACATGCATGGGAAGCTAGCCACCCAATCACTTCTATGTTCTCAGCAACATGCACACCCAACATGTCCCTGGCTTACCTGCCCCTACTGGGTGCCAGGGCACGCGATATCCAATCGCTGCAAGACTACTACTAGACTACCAAAATGCTGTTGAAAAAGTAATAACTGAACCACTAATGTTATCCATCAAACAATGCAACTGTGCTGAAAATCAAAACATTCACTAGTTTACCTTAAAGGAGAACTATGAGGCGAGTGATTTGACTGTCACTCACGGCTCCCTGCAGGGATTCCCCCCCCCTCCCCTGTCCAATCCTCCAGCGCTGACTGGCGGAACGGACGGGGGAGGGTACAGCTGGCTCTGCCTCTAGATAGGCAGAGGCAGCTGTCAATCACGCAGCTGGGTGGATCGCGACAGTAATGTCGGGATCCGTCCTGGTTGCAGCGGTCTCAGTATACCGCAAGATAGCTTTGGGTCACGGGAGGAAGCTAGTTTATGTCCTTCCATGACACTTAGGAGAACTATGGGGGAAAACACTGACCCCATAGTTCTCCTTTAATCTGTGTTCTCTGTAACCCATTGCAGCCAGGATCCAGACAGCATCTCAGAGTAAGGGCAGGTTCACACCATTTTTCGGACCGCATCTGGTCCAGTGCATTCCAGACCAGAGAAAATGAGACATGCAGTATTTTTGTGGTCTGGAACGGACTGCGCTGGTGTGAACAGGGGCCAGAAATAGCATAGGGATACATTAGGAAGCATTTTGGGTCTGGAGATGACCTGGATGTGGTGTGAATGGGCCCTAAGCAGGGGGGGGATTTTGCAAAGCCTGTGCGTCGTAACTTCTACTCTTTGCTTTCCGTCTCACCAAATACATTCAAACTTCCAAGATAGGTCTGAATCCGATTGTTAGCTTTTAGGAGTCTTCTCAATCCTTTGTTAGGATAGGGATCCCAGATCACAGACAAAAGGGATTAAAGGTGCACTATATACAACCCTAATTCCCCACAAAAAGTTGGGGCGCTGTGTACAATCTACATAAAAACAGAATGCAGTGATCTGCAAATCTCATAAAGCCATATTTTATTTACAATAGAAAAGACATGCAATGTTTAAACTGAGAAAATTTACCATTCTAAGAAAAAAATAAGCTCATTTTGCAATTGATGGCAGCAAAACATTGGGACAGAGCCATGTTTATCACGTTGTAGCATCCCTCCTTCATTCAACAACACTCTGTAAACGTCTGGGAACTGAGAAGACCAGTTGCTGGAGTTTTGGGAGAGGATTGTTGTCCCATTCTGTTGTCATAGATGCAGTATGCGGTTTAGCACTGCCCTGCTGAAATATGCAGAACCTTCCCCGAAAAAGACATCGTCTGGATGGGAGCATATGCTGCTCTAAACCTGATATATCTTTCAGCATTGATGGTGCCTTTCCAGATGTGCACGCTGCCCATTCCATACGCTCTAATGCGCCCCCATATCATCCGACAATAAATACTATCCTTGTTGCATTCCTTATCGAAAAGCCCCTCGTAGTGGGGGCTGCTCGCAGTGACTGCAGATGGTGCCGCAAATATCAGCAAATTGTAGAAACGTCACCAGCACACCAGTCCTTTTAGGATAGCAAAACCTTCATTTATTGAAGTTCTTTGTCATATGAACAAGCGCTTTCGGGACCGCACAGTGTTCCTTCATCAGGCTTTAGCTAAAGCTCAGCGCTGATAACAAGCAGGAAGGACCCTCTCCTCTTTAGTCTGGAGGACGTGGCACCCATGGTTGCCAAAAAGAATATCAAATTTCGATTCGTCTGACCACAAAAAAGTTTTCCACTTTGCGACAGACCATTTTAAGTGAGCTTTGGCCCAGAGAAGACAGCAAAGTTTCTGGATCATGTTCAGATATGGCTTCTTTGCATGATAGAACTTTACTTGCATTTTCTGGATGGCACAGCGAACTGTGTTCACAGACAGTGATTTTTGGAAGTATTCCTGAGTCCATGCTTTGATGCCCATTACAGAATCATGACTGTTTTTAATGCAGTGCTGTGTGAGGATCATGAGAATCCAATATTGCGTTTCAGCCTTGTCCCTTGCCCACAGAGATTTCTCCAGATTCTTTTGATATTATGTGTTGTAGATGATGATACATTTAAAGTCTTTGGAATTTTACATTGAGGAACATTATTCTGAAATTGTTCGTCAATTTTTAGACGCAGCACATTTCAGATTGGTGAACCTCTGCCCATCTTTACGTCTCAGACACGCTAACACTATTTTTAAACCCAATCATGTTACTGACCTGTTGCCAAGTAACCCAATTAGGTGCAGAATGTTCCTCCAGCTCTTCCTTGTTAGTACCACTTACTTTGCCAGCTTTTTGGTGCCCTGTCCCAACTTTGCGACATGTTGCTGCCATCAATAAAATATGGATTTATAAGATTTGCAAATCATTATTTTCTGTTTTTATGTAGATTTTACACAGCGTCCCAACTTTTCTGGAATTGGGACTGTAAATGCATGAAATGATAAACTAGAGCACTAAGCAGGAAAAACATGCTGCCTTGCAAGCTTTTAAAAGTTTAAGTGACACTAAACTTAGGAGTTAAAGGAGAACTATGAGATGAGTGATTTCCACTCCCTTCATAGTTCTAGCCGACCTGTGACAATGAGACTGTCACAGGTCGGCTCAGTAAATCGGGAGGTGAGCGAACACATACCGGCGCTCGCTCACCTCTCGATCCTGTGACAGCTCTCTGCCATGACAGGGGAGGGGCGTTTTCCTCTGCTCCGCCAGCGCTGACTGGCAGAACGGATTGGGTGGGTACAGCTGGCTCTGCCTCTAGATAGGCAGAGCCAGCTGTCACTCACGCAGCTGGGCGGATCCCGACGTCCAGGTCGAGATCCGCTCCGGCTGCGGCGTCTCAGTATACCGGGATCTGTAGCTCGCGGTATACTGAGCTTAGGGTAACGGGAGGACGCTAGTTTGTGTCCTCCCGTTACCCTAAGGAGAACTATGGGGAAAAACACTGACCCCATAGTTCTCCTTTAAATCTTTATAATGCATTCAAGTACCTTAATTATTAACAAATATGTGTCTTATTTGTATATCACTCAGCTGTAGATCCTCAAGTCATCTCTGAATGGGTGCTGACACTGTCCTTCCTTCTGGAGGGTGGCTACTTTTGTTCCCCATGGTTCCCGTGTGTGTTGTAAAGTAGTCACCGCTCCAAACTCACTCCCATAATTGACTACAATTTCAATACTAATTAGTATATTAAATCTGAGATTGTAGTCCATCATGGAAGCCAGTCTGGAGTGGTGGCTACTTTACAGCACACACAGGGACCATGGGGAACAAAAGTAGCCACCCTCCAGAAGGAAGGACAGTGTCAGCACCAATTCAGAGATGATTTGAGGCTCTACAGCTGAGTGATACACAAATAAGGTACAGGTTTATTTTTCTTAATAGTTGAGGTACTTAAATGCATATTTAAGATTTAACTCCCGAGTTTAGTGTCACTTTTCGGCCTCATTCACACTGGCGCGCATATACACGCGTATACGCACGTATGTGCGTATTGTACAATATGGAACACATGCAAATAAATGGCTCCACACACATAGCCGCGTAGGGAGTCGTATATTTGCGTAGAGTATATAGGCGCAAAAAACGAATTGAACCGAGATGCGTCCGGGCAGCTTATTTTACGTGCATATGCATGTTTGCACGTATTTGTGTGTACAGTTCATTAAAGTTTCAATTAGGAATGATGCATCCTGGGAATGCAAATAGTGCACGCATATACGCACATACGCTCGTATATACCCTCATAGACGCAATATACAATTTTGCTTGCGTTGTGTGTGAATGAGGCCTAATGTGGCAGATATTGAACTGGGCTGCATAATTAAAGCAAAAGTCAGGTCGAAAAAACACTCAGCTCCTTCTGCAAAAGAAGAAAGCAGAGAAACTGAAAACTCGGGAGTATCAATCTGTTTCGTATTCCACAGGACTCAGTGGTTTCCACTGCTGACCTACACAATACCTCTGGGTCCTCCCTAACCAGACTATTGTATTCCAGCAGCCAGCACAAGCAGCTGTCAGAAACCCCCCAACAGTGACTATAGCGGATTGGATGCAGCCACTGTTCAGCCGACATTTTTTTTCCTCCCAGCTCCTTTAACAAAAGTCAATTGCATTGAGCAAAGGCAAGGCCACCCTCAGTTTGAATTTCAGCTGACGCACCAGGACTCGACCAAAATTCGAGCACTGTATGTCCATCTAATGTATGGTTCCAAGTCAAATGCTTAGCTGCCCAAGAAGACCTCATGGATGACTGACCCTGGAAATACATAATACTGCCCAACTATTTTGTCTTTTTACCTTAGTTCTTGTGGACTGCCTGTACTAAAATGTCACCCGTTCCCCCCACCCCAATAATGTTATCTACAGTACATCTGCAAATCCTAAATTCCACTCCTGCTGGAACAAGACAGAATGTAAACACGCCCGCTAAATCCAAGTGACCAGTGCACCACACTGCTGATTTTTCAGCTCTCGGTGGACATACAGGACAAGATTTTAAAGGCTATGCAATATTGATGAACAGCTGGCCAGTAAGTGGGTGAGGCGTAATGCCTGCATTAATAGTCAAAAAGCTAGCTGGAATAATTTCTTTATTTCCACAGTAGGACACTGTACAGTATGTAAAATGCCTCATGGGTCACTGAAAGTAACCGCTCAGAGAAAAGGAAACAGGTTGTTTCTTTGAGGAAGTCTGTTCTAATAAAAAGCTTTGTAACCTACCCCTGAGTGTGAAAGAGAGCATCAGGTTTAGTTTCTTAAAACCTGGTTCCAGTACAACAGGGAGCCCCTATAAACCTGGGATGTGTGCAAATACTGGTTTACTCATTTCCCTGGTTTACTGCATTTATAATGATGTAGCACTAGTAGAAACAAACAGGTTAATGAATAAGCCAGAAGGATGGCCTTCCAGCGGCCATACCACTGCTTTACAGAAAGAAAATTAAAAAAAACCATGTATGATTATAAAAAGCACAGTGGTATGCTTTACAAATGTGAATTACACTCCACTGACTAAGGGAACTCTTAATGAAGGCTGAGCATAACACAAAGTAAAAAAAAAAAAAAAAACAGGACGAGATCCTGGTCAGGTGACCAGTTCTCCAATGATGGAGTTCTCTTTACTCTGTTAAGTCACAATACCACAACCTGCATTTTAGGAATGGGCCACAAAGTGAGACCACAGTATGGAGTAACCCCACAGAGTGTAAAGGAGAGCAGATATCGATATCCACTGTATAGTATAAAGGTGCCCCTTAATCAAAGAAGCATACAGCGGGGGTTTTTGGCAAATTATGGCAACAGTAATGACCTTGTGTGTACTGCTCCCGGGCAGGATTCTTTTTTTTTTCTTCAAACAAAATGACCCTTAACACCACAAGGTATAACATATATAAACGTATTTGTGAATGTTACAAAATGTCCCTTTTTAAAAAAAAACTATTTGCGAAAATGTTTCATCTAAACGATGTTCCCTTCTCACCCTTTGGACTGGCCATTTGCACGGTTCTCTGCAAATTTCACTTCAATAGGGTCACGGATACCAAGGGAGCGGATGGCAGCGATGAGCTGCTGATCTGTGGTCCACTAATAAATCAAAGTACAAAAGGAATGGATTAAACCAGAAGCAGCAGTTTAAAAGGCAAAGTCTAAATATACAAAGACACTTATATACTGAAGGTTCTCAAAAAAAGAACTGTCTGTGGTGCTCCATTGCAAGAAGATTCAAATCATAACTAGAAAATGAGAATTGGAGGAGGGCAGCTTGAATGTAACTGGATGCTGTGGGATGTTGTCATAAAGGTCAGCAAGCAGGATACACATTAAAGCTGATCTTGCAGTAAAATATAAGGTCTGCTTAATTTGATACAAATCACCTACTGGTAGTATTAATATAGTTATTTATTACAAGTATTTCTATAGCGCCGAAAATGTATGCAACACTTTACATAGTTGCGGGACTCAAGTTGCCCCAACAATCTAAGGTCTCTATCTCACAGGCATACATATAAGTGTCAATTTAGACAGGAGCCAATTAACCCCTTCGTGACTGACGACGTACAGTGTACGTCGCCAGCATCGGGGCTGTTTAAACAGACTCCCGGCGACTTTTGCCGCCGGGACTGTTTAAACTTGTAGAGCCGACTGTCGGCTTTACAACAGAAGCGATCCTGGCGACTTACCTGTCGCCAGATCGCTTCTGCGTCCCGAAGAAGGGGCCGCCCCCCCCCC